TTCCTAAATTTTTTCTATTTAGTTATCTTGCTATTCGAAAACCATTAAATTCTATTATACTATGTTCCAACTTTTTAGTGTAAAATAAAATAAAATAATTCTAGATAAAATAAGATTATGAGGNTATATTCAATTATATTTACACTGTATATTTTATTTTCTAGATAAAATAAGATTATGAGCACGTGTAGTTAATTTATCAAGTCATATGTGGAATACCATAGAGATAGTTACTCATTTTTATAATTTGATAATGTTTAATATTTTCACATAACACGTGTTTAATAGTAAATACTATGCTCACTATACATATATATATATTTAGTCATGGATAATGATAATTTTCTTGATAATATACGTGGTTAAACTAAATAGATAATTTACAACTTAAATTTGTAGAGTAGTTTTTCGATTAATGTATAAAACCTATATCTTAGTTTAACCTATAACGTACTGTTTAAAGGCATGAAAATTGAAGACAGTTGATTTTAATAATACTTGAGTATAACACGCTATTATTGACATTAAGTATAAATAATGTATGCGGGCTTAGAATTACGCTTTATAATACAGTATAAAAATATTCTGTTTACTGTCTAGACACCTAATAGTAGATATAGAAGATAATGTAATCGTGGCATAATTATTCTAGATATAGTATCCGATAATTAATTTTAAATACGAGTTGGTCAGTCATAAAATGTTTCAATGTATTAATTTCCCCAAAAATTATTTTTGTACATATTATAGTTCGGCAAAGTTGTAACTAGGATTTTTAAATAGGAGTCATACTTAGAAAATATTTTTACCCTAGTATATGGAGATAAATATTGTGTCTAATCAAGAGACCATAGCTTTTCAAAGCTCCGTTTTGAAGTTCCGTATTTTAATAATTCACCAAAAATTATTAATAATAATTCTTGGTGCATCAACAATGTTCGAAGTGTTATTATTTCGAGAGAGTGAGCAGATTTGAATGGCCTTCTTTATGTTTTGCGCCCGGACATCATAAACTATAAAGCTAACATTGGTCACAGTTAGTCAATATTACTAGTCACTTCCCAGATAAATAAAATAATTTTACTAAAATTACATCACTAAAAATATTAAAAATTAGTAAATTGTCGTTGCACAATGATCCCAAATATGATTTTATCTAACCATAAGTAGAAAATGTTGTTATCTAAAGATATTGATTGACTGTTACTTAGCGACAATGAATTTAATAATATTGATAGTAATTGTGATTTAGGACAAATAAGTGTTAATGTTAGTGTAAATGATGAATTATATAAACCACCACATTTCAACTTTGTATAAATAATAATTATATTTTTCTACTCAAACTAAATTTTTAACGGTTTAATCTTAAAAATATACATCAAGATATTAAGTTTTATTATATCCTCAAAGAAGTAATGCAGGCGAAAAACTATAATTATTAACAATGATAAAATAGGAAAATTCTAGGGGTTCTGGGAGGTTTGATTTATTTTATTTAAAGCATATATATGTACTCTTCCAAATATTGCATTAATAATTTCCCCAACTTACCTTACTTAAAATACTTACTAACTTAAAATTATAATAACTTTTGTGAAAAAAGTAATATTGAGAAAAAATTTACTTATCTGAAATCTTTAAATATTATATTTGTGTTTTACAATTATACTCCAAGTGAATAACAAAATATTTAAATTCTTTGCATAAAAAATAGATTAAGTAATTTATAGTTTTATTTTAAAATTAATTTAATTATTACTCTTTAGTGATTAGTAGTGTTTCCGTGAAATATTCGTTTATTTATGAGACTTTACCTTATGTATTAATACATTTGTTGTGAATGTATATATACAGTGAGTTAATTAAATATTTGAATTTGGTTTAAAAAATATAATTTTTCTCTCGAATTTCCATCGTCTTACAAACCTTTAAGTGCGATCTAAGCTATTAGAAAAATATTTGAACGAGTGATAAAACTATACTTAAAGGTCTGTAAGACTATGGCTATTTGAGAAGCAAATTATTTTTTCTAGACAATGTTCGAATATTTACTAGACTCGCTGTATATGCGTGTAAGCGTATACAGTGAATTTATGTAAATACGTATAAGTCACATAGTCTCCAATATTATATTCCTCTGGTGAATCAGCATTGCTTATGATAATGTAAATGTATCATTAATGATTATAAAAATTAAGTCTGGAGCAGATAAGTTTTATAAAAACATTCAAATTATTGAATTTAATAAAGAGCACACAGTAACGCATACTTTACATTTAAAAACTTGTACTTTAAAATTAATTAAAATTGTGAAAAAATGTTTGTACAATATATAATTAAATAAAAGAATGTGTTTTGAGTAAAAACTTTATTTATGTTATTGTAATAATTTTTGTCAGTAGTAAAATATAAAATAATGTAAAAAATTAAATATAGACTTTATCTTTTTAAAGAAAAGTGGATTGAAAAATGCTTATTAATTTTTAATTCAGCTACCTCATAAACATATATTTTAATATATAACACTAAACAAATAACTAAAATTGAAAAAAGTCACTATTTATTCCTCCTAAAAAATGATGAAAGTGAAAAGTTATTGTCAAATTTGCGATCTCAAAAACAAATGTTACGATCATTTTTTATTGATAATAACTTAATAATACAACTTTTTATTTCAGCGACCTCATAAACATATATTTTAATATATAACACTAAACAAATAACTAAAATTGAAAAAAGTCACTATTTATTCCTCTTAAAAAGGATGAAAGTGAAAAGTTATTGTCAAATTTGCGATCTCAAGAACAAATATTACGATCATTTTTTATTGATAATAACTTAATAATTCAACTTTGATAGTTATTTATTATGTTCAGCTAAAATTGTGTTTGGGACTTTTGTACGTTATTATATTTAGCGAGGTCTTCTGAAGTTTTTTAAGTAAAAACTACTTGATTGACCCACTATTATCAGTTTTTTTTAATTGCCATACTTTTGCATTTAACATTGTTCACTGAATGATGTTAATAAAATGTTTACCGGGGCTTTTTGAATTTTTTTTTTAAGATCAATAATAATTATTATGTATGGATAATATATATTGGGCACAATAATAATAAAAATATTTTATTAAATAAATAAATACGAATATATGTAAAAGAGGGAGTTTTTTATGATATGAAATCATCCTATTTTTACTAATTAATAAATAAAATTTAAATTGAGAGCGGTTTGTAAATGTATAATTTTATGAATATCCTATAAAAATAATTGAAATAGTTATATTACAAAATAGCTAATAATATAAATAAATAGCCTATAACTAAATCCTACAACGAATGATGATAATATCAACAAGCATGTACAGGGCCGTCCCTACATTTTGCGGGGCCCAGGGCATAACTATATTTGCGGGGCCTACCAAAAAACCCTTTCAAAAAATTACACTCACGTAAGTCGTAACCTCAACCATTTCAAATGTTAACATACATAAAGTGTTATTTTAAAAATAATATAACATTCCATTGTTATTTTTATCCTCATACGAGGTGTGACAAAAAAAAAACGAGACTTTTTTAATAAAAGTTATTTATTTTTAAAACTTTACAATTTAATGATTGTCACCTTCAAAATACCTTCCCTCAGCATTAACACACTGTTGCATACGTCGCTACGATTCTTGAAAACAATGTTGACAATCGTTTTCAGTAAGCCCTTTTAGAAGTTCTGCCGTTTTCATTTTTACATCATCAACCGTTTGAAAATGGATTTCTTTTAATAAACTTTTAATTTTTGGAACTAGAATAAGTCACAAGGAGCAAGGTCTGGCGAGTACGGGGAATGTTGAAGTATAGAAATATTTTTTTCAGTTGCTCCGGGTGCAGAGGCGGGCGGCGATCCGGACCGTGTCGGCTTACCGAACGGTCTCCGGAGTGGCGGCGGGAATACTGTCGTCACTGCGGCCCGCCGACCTGCTAGCCGCGGAACGGGCCGCCGGACATGAGCTCCGCCGAGAGCGCGACCGACCCCTCGAACCCGAGGACCGGTTGGCGCTCCGGCGGACCACCTTGCTCCGGTGGCGGGCTCGCCTCTCGGAGGAAACGAAGAGAGGCGAGTGGACCAGGTCCCTCATAGGACCCGACCGCCTGGAGAGGTGGGTGGCCCGGACACACGGTGAGATGTCTTACCGTCTCACGCAAGTGTTGTCCGGCCACGGCTGCTTCAACGAATACCTTCACGGTATTCGGAGGGCAGCCGCGCCGACGTGCGACCACTGCCAGGATCGCCCGGGAGAGGCAGACAACGCTCTGCACACCCTCTTCCGGTGCGAGGCGTGGGCCCAGGAACGGGACTCGCTGGAGTCCCGTCTGGGGTCCACGATCCGCGTCGGGTCCTTGGTGGACCTCATGTTGGGAAGCCGGGAGGCGTGGAGGCTCGTCCAGGCGTTCGCGGAATCCGTCCTGAAAAGGAAGGAGGAAGCCGAACGCCTGAGGCAGCGGCAGCCGCGCCGCCCGGTACAGGAGGACCTAAGGCGCTGGTTTAGGCCGGTGCCTTAGGTATAAGTGTGCTTATATGTTTGTGAATTATTTTATGCCCCCTTCGCAAAGTCCTGCCCCCACCTCCACGTGGTGCAACCCGGGCAACGGATCCCGACTTTTGGGATCCGGCTAACGGGGGAGGCCACACCACGTTGTGAATCAGCTCTTGATTAATTTCGGGCTGATTCACAACGTGGTGGTGTGAGTTTTAGAGACGGCGTGGGCCGCCCTGAGGCAATACCTAACGGTAGTTCCGGGGCGGTCCGCATGTAGGCCGGTCGTGTTAAAAAAAAAAAAAAAAAAAAAAAAAAAAAGGGGTAAGGATTAAGCGTGGTCTTATCATAGAGGAGGCGTGGTCTTATCATAGATAGGGTAAAGGGAGCCGTGGTCTCACGATAGTGGGGGTAATAGGTAACTTAGGTGGGGGTGTTAAGGTCAATTAAAATGGGGATTAAAGTGCGCATGCGCACTATAACTTCATGTCAGTGGTGGGGTAGGTAGCCATTCGGAAATGGTTGTCTCCTCCTACGATGTCATCTACTGGAGGGTAAGGTAAACCTCATGTGAACTGATAACGGTAACTGATAAAAGTACGTGTAAACATACACATTACATTGAAATAGTGTACGTCAAATAGTGGCCGCCGTTGCCACTTTAACATATTTACTTAATATTAACGCTACAAAGTCTTCATCAACAATTCCTATACAGGAAAGGGGTAACGAAACATAACATAAACCAACCTATAATGGGTGGGGATGAATCCAAGTTAAACTAAAACGTTTTCTAAGAATTTTTATCATTGCCTACCAGACGCATAGGTAAGCATATTTCCAACATCAAAGGCACCGCCATATTATAACTCACATTACCGTCTACATTTTATAAGAACAAAGACAACCTCTCTCGTTTTGGCATAATAAATTCTAAGAAATTTATCATGGGTAACCAGACGCTTAGCTAAGCATATTTTAAACATCAAAGATTTCGCCGTACAGTAATAATCACTGTTGTATGCATTTATTTTTTACATAGTATTTTATTGTTGGTAACCAGACGCTTACGTCAGCATATTTCAAACGTCAAATGTATTACTATATTATAACTCACATTACCGTCTACATTTTATGAGAACAATGGCAACGTCTGTCGTTTTGGCATAATAAATTCTAAGAAATTTATCATTGGTTACCAGACGCTTAGCTAAGCATATTTCCAACATCAAAGGTACCGCTATATTATAACGTTCATAGGCGTCTGCATTTTTATTTTTTACATAGTATTTTATCATTGCCTACCACCAGATGCTTAGAAAAACATCTCGTTAATATTAGTATATTACTATTAATTATATAATTAATATAATTACTATAATTGGTAATATATTTTTAGAATTACTATGTTTAGGTTGCTATAATAGTATAATCGCTATTATTATTATTTTCTACTGCGCCTTTAAAATAATAATATGTGTATCGCATTTTATTTTATTATATTTAATTTGACAATTTTTTTATACCTATAACTAGAGGTATTACATTTAAAGTAGCACCCCCACTACCAGCACCACCGAGTCTTCACTGCGCTTATCATTTAATGTATACATTACATTTAAATAGTGTACGTCAAGTAGCGACCGCCGCCACCACACTTGACTATTCCTTGAACGATTTGTAACAAACTCTATTAAGACAATTGGGTGTGAGGTGCGCACAATGTTTGAAACCCAATGAAAACTAACCTAAGTCAGGGGAGCGGGATTTCTTCAACATGTCGTAATGAGCGACGAGGTAATGAAACTTAACTTGAAACCAACCGCCATATTATAATCCCACATTACCGTCAACATTTTACGAAAAATAATTGCTGTCTGCGTTTTATCAAAGTTATCTTTTTCTAAGAATTTTTATCATTCCCTACCAGACACTTAGGTAAGCATATTTCAAACATCAAAGGTACCGCCATATTATAACACACATTACCGTCTACATTTTATAAAAACAAAGACAACGTCTGTCGTTATGGCATAATAAATTCTAAGAATGTTATCATCGACTACCAGACGCTTAGGTCAGCATATTTCAAACATCAAAGAGGTCGCCGCATAAAAATGTCGTATGAATCTTATCATCGGATGCCAGACGCTTAGGTCAGCATAATTCCAAAGATGATACAATATATTAATGTTCACTGCCGTATGCATTTTATGAGAAAAATGGCAACGTTGTCTTTTTTCACGCCTACGCATTTTGTTATTTTACTATATAACCGGTTAAACGCTCTGTATCTTGTCACATTCGTGTTCAATTAACGTTAACGCATAGTTGATTATTTGAAAACTATAAATTTATTATTTTAACGCGCAAATAAAAAATCATGAACCAGCAAACGTCTTCAACAGGTATGTACAATTATTAACATTTCTCTTTAATTTTATCATCCTTACTATTTTTATTTATCTTTTTCCAATAAATAAATAAATAATTTATTTTTGATTAAAGCTACTTCCACGACATCTGTTTCGTCACATCAGACGGCGAAGCGTAGTAGGGCCAACAACAGCGCGGTTAGGTCGAAAAGGTTACGTATGCAATTGACGGATACCAGTGATTTCAGCGAGATCGATTCCGCATTGGAGCGGGGGGCCGTTTGGTTTTACCGGAAGAACGTGGAAAATTTCGCGAGCTATCGAGATTTTCTGCGCGTCGTTAAACCTGAGCTGGTGGCCAGACTCGCTGAAATTGTAGGTAACCGGCCGATCAAGTATAATCTCAAATTGGAGGCCTCATACCATATACCTCGATCAGAAGCACCGTCCGAAGACCGTGCCTTCAAGACACGGGCTAGGGCATTGCTATCCGATACAGATATCGGGTGTGCGGTCGATGAAGATTTTGAGGTTATGCTTGCCGAGGAAGACGCGTACTCGGGTAGGGGTAGCGGATTCACTCTAACGCATATCGACGGTCTTATGCTCAGCGTATACAAGTATACGCCCCTCGCCGGCTCATCATATATTCCTGTCCCGCCAGAGATTAACCAAAGAAAAGCAATCATCAACCCACAGAATATCGATCAGTCTTGTTTCAAGTGGTCCATTTTGGCAAGACACGTTGGTGGGAGTAATAAATATCGCGTTAATGAAAAATATTTTAACGAGGAACACAGGTATGATTTCACGGGGTTGACGTTCCCCACACCTGTGTCCCAAATTAAAATATTTGAACGACGAAACCCTAACGTGTCTGTCAACGTGTACGGCTTGGAACGAGACGACGATAAGATGAAGTGGTTGGTGTATCCTCTAAGAGTCGCCGACCAAGAGCAACAGAATCATTTTGACCTGTTGTACATCGGTGACTCTGAAAAGTCACATTACGCGTACATTTCCGATTTTTCGAGGCTCGTGCGCAGCCAAAAAACCAAACACCTAGGTCGCATATACACTTGCAAACGTTGCTTCACCAGCTTTGATGATCAGCCTAAAAAGCATATTCTTCGGGGTCATCAAGCGTTGGAGCAACACAAGTTGATATGCGGCAAGAACAAGCCTATTTTACCCGTTATGCCGGCGGAGGGCAGTAAGGTCGAATTTGACGCGTGGGTAAAGACGCAACGGTTACCGTTCGTCATCTACGCCGATTTTGAGGCCTTGCTGGAGAAAACAGACGATCGCATGGGTACATACACCAGGACTGTGCACACCCACCATCCCATGAGCTATGGATTCATGGTGAAAACATCGGACGATGTGCCCTCGGAGCTCCTCGAACACTATGGTATACCGTAATCACCGGTGATATACCGTGGGTCCGAGGATCGCGAAGAGGTCGCCAAGGCATTTGTGATGGCTGTAACTGAAGTGACGCGCAACATTTCTAAATTGTTGCGCAAAACCAACGTTCCCATCCGAATGTCTATCGATGATGTGCGCAGGCACGGGGAGAAAGTGGTATGCGACTTGTGCCGCACGGCATTCAAGGATTCCAACCCCAAAGTCGCAGACCACTGTCATTTATCGGGCCGATTCAGACAGACGTTGTGCAATGCATGTAACCTGAAAGTAAAGACGGTCAATTTTGTGCCGTGCTTCTTGCACAATCTTTCGGGTTACGACGCGCATTTCATCGTCACTGAATTGGGGTACGACGACCAAAGGATTTCGGTCATACCGAATTCCGAGGAGAAGTATATTTCGGTCACGAAACACGTGACCAATAACTTCTCCATACGGTTTGTCGACACCTTCCGATTCATGGCCTCCTCCCTGTCCACCTTGGCCGGTAACCTAATGACGCCCGACTTTGTTAAATTCCGGGAGACGGCCAAGGTGTTCCGCCCGGAAGACATGCCGTTGGTGACGCGTAAGGGCGTATACCCCTACGAGTACACTGATAGTTGGGCTAAATTGGAAGAAACGGAACTACCACCTCAGGACGCTTTCTATAGTCAGTTGAGTGAGTCTAATATTGATGACGACGACTATAGACATGCCACGGAGGTGTGGAACCGTTTCGACTGCTCAACCCTCGGTGAGTACAGCGACCTATATCTTAAGATCGACGTGTTGTTGTTGGCTGATGTGTTTGAGAACTTCCGCGACATCTGTATTTCAACATACAATTTGGACCCGGCGCACTATTACACCGCGCCTGGTTTTAGCTTCGATTGTATGTTGAAATACACCAGGATGAAGCTGGAGCTCTTGAACGACTATGACATGCTACTGATGGTGGAACAGGGCATTCGTGGTGGGCTAGTGCAGGCCGTCAAGCACTATGCCAATGCCAACAATCCGAAGACACCCGATTACGATCCGTTAAAACCAAAATCATGGATCGTGTACCAAGACTGTAAGTAATCTATACGTGCATATATAAACGCGCAATATTTGAGCGGTGGTTTAATAACGTTTAATGTTTACAGGCAATAACCTTTACGGGTGGGCTATGAGTCAGCCCATGCCGTACGGTGGCTTCCGGTGGTATAAAGGAGCAGACCCTCTGGCTGACCTCCAATCGTTGTCGGACACTGGTAATACGGGGCGTATATATGAAGTGGACGTATCGTATCCACAAGAGCTGCATGACGAGCACAACGACTTGCCGTTCTTGCCTGTCAACGATGTACCGCCGGGTTCCAAAGAGACCAAACTCATGGCTACTTTGAAACCCAAACAGCGGTACGTCGTACATTACGTTAATCTTAAACAGGCGATCGCACACGGACTGCAAGTCGATAAAGTATGTATAGTTAACCTATAAACTATAAGCGATGATACTAATATAAATATTTGTACTGCAGGTGCACCGCGTTTTAGAGTTTCAACAAAGTGCTTGGTTGAAACCATACATTGAGTTGAACACTGAAATGCGGAAAAAGGCGGCAAATGCTTTTGAAATTGCATTTTTCAAACTAATGAACAATGCCGTCTTTGGTAAGTGCATGCTCAATGCTAAAGTGGGTTATTCGATAATTTTTTACATTTTATAGGGAAAACAATGGAGAACATGCGGAAACGCATCCGTATTGAGCTAATCTCCAGTCCCGAACGTCTAAGCAAGCTCGTAAACCAACTAACCTTCAACGACTGTATCAAATACGGTGAAAGGTTGTACTCACCAGTATCCATGTAAACCAATTCGATTGCGTTGTCATAATGTGGTTTCAATACGTCGTAGAAGTACTTGTACATTAGCGTCTTACTAATGTCAAGCACTGCTAAACCAACGTATATTGGTTTGATAAACTTGACCATCTTTGTGTCCATTATGACGGCGCACAACCTTTCACCGTAATGACGGTAATATGAGTTATAATATGGCGGTGCCTTTGATGTTGGAAATATGCTTACCTATGCGTCTGGTAGGCAATGATAAAAATTCTTAGAAAACGTTTTAGTTTAACTTGGATTCATCCCCACCCATTATAGGTTGGTTTATGTTATGTTTCGTTACCCCTTTCCTGTATAGGAATTGTTGATGAAGACTTTGTAGCGTTAATATTAAGTAAATATGTTAAAGTGGCAACGGCGGCCACTATTTGACGTACACTATTTCAATGTAATGTGTATGTTTACACGTACTTTTATCAGTTACCGTTATCAGTTCACATGAGGTTTACCTTACCCTCCAGTAGATGACATCGTAGGAGGAGACAACCATTTCCGAATGGCTACCTACCCCACCACTGACATGAAGTTATAGTGCGCATGCGCACTTTAATCCCCATTTTAATTGACCTTAACACCCCCACCTAAGTTACCTATTACCCCCACTATCGTGAGACCACGGCTCCCTTTACCCTATCTATGATAAGACCACGCCTCCTCTATGATAAGACCACGCCTACTCCTTACCCCCACCCTCATAAATCCAATCTTCCATTACCCTCACCATCGAGAAACCATGTTTATTGATTGACCTTGACTACGGTCATTACCCACACCATCGTGAGACCACTCCACCCCTTCCCACCACCATTAATAAGAACACACCTCCCCTTACCCAATCAATGATAAGACCACGCCACCCATAACCCCACCCTCATAAGACCACGCTTCCCCTTACACCCACCACCGAGAAACCACGTTTATTGTTTGACCTTGACCACGGTCATTACCCCACACCATCGTGAGACCACTCCTCCACTTCCCTCCACCATTTATAAGAACACACCTCCCCTTACCCAATCATTGATAAGACCACGCCTACCCTTACCCAATCAATGATAAGACCACGCCTTCTCCTTACACCGTCAATGATAAGACCACGCCTTCTCCTTACCCAATCAATGATAAGACCACGCCTTCTCCTTACCCCCACCCTCATGAATGCGATCCTCCATTACCCCCACCATCGAGAGACCACGCCATCTACTTACCCCCACCATCGAGAAACCACGCCCACTGTGTGACCTTGACATTACCCCCACCATTGAGAGACCACGCCCACTGTGTGACACGCCCCCCCCTCGACCACGCCCACTCACCCAGTGGGTGGGTAGGTGAAGGGGTGAGGCGGGGGGTTCTAGAACTCTCTATTTTACCCTACTCACACTTTTTTCATATTTAAATTTTCAACTAAAATTTTTCGAACACTTTCTTTTACAATATTTACCATCTCTGCTACAGCTCTAACACTTAATCAACTATCTTACCGAATAATTTTGTCGATTTTTTCCACGTTTTAGTTTGTTGAACATGTGGTAGGACGTTCAGAGCGATCATCGTCTTACACATCCTCTCTTCCATTGCAATACCGTTTGAGCCATTCAAAAACTCGAGCTCTTGATAAACATTCTTCACCATAAACTTCACATAACATACGAAATGATTCCGCGGCAGTTTTTTTTAATTTAACAAGAAATTTAATGTTAACACGTTGTTCGATTTTTATATCTAACATTTTTCGGCAATATAGTCGAATTCGCACTAATAACAAAGTTACTAACGTATAAAAAAATTAATCGGTTTAATCAGTGTTTATAGTACTTTTAGATAAATGTTTCCTAATCATATTTCAATAATCGTTTTATAGATAACGTTAATAGTTTAGGTTATATTTAGAAAGTCTCGTTATTTTATTGTCACACCTTGTATGTGCTCTTTATAGTGCCAATTTGATTAGATGAACACATCTAAAAATGTAATTTCCATCATACACTTATACATAAATAAATTGTTGTCATTATTGTAGGTACACATATAATACTATTTAAAAATTAATTTTTCTTGATTTGTGATCAGCAAATGTGTCAGTAACATCATCAAAGTCCATTTCGTCTACTATATCACGTTCAATTTATATTATAACTAAGTTTGTCATTTTTTCTTGATTTAATGTGGTTCTTAGGTAATTTTTTATCAACTTAGTTTAGAGAATGATCTCTCGGCTGTTGCTGTTGAAACTGGTAATGTGAACATAATCCTTAATGCTATAGCAAAATTAGCATAAATATCACCAACATTGTTGCTAAGGATTTTTTGTAAAACATGAAGTGGTGGAGTACCTTTTTCTATTATTTCTGAAAGAAGACAAAGCTCATCATACAACTCAGTTTCACTTATGTCCATGTTTTCACCAGTTTATAAAAGAATTTGAAGATCATTGCAACTCTCTATCAATGTATCTGAATCAACAGTGAATTACCAATATCAAAGAGAAATCCAAAATAATTGTGAAAATGATCCAATTGGGTGAATCTTTGATTTATAGTGTATCAAAAATTAAACAAAAATTAGATGCCACAATAGAATTTTTTAAAAATGCAGGCCTATTGTACAATCCTGACAACACTGAAATAAACTTCAGTGACGATAGAGATCAAGAAGAAGAAGATCAACAATATGAACATTTTTTTAAATTATTTAATAAAAAATAAAACTTAATACACGGAAAAAAATTATATTTATTTACTTCAACACTGTCGTAGCATGTTTAGCGTACTCACGAATACTGCTGGGACATTGTAAACGATCACAATCGATAAACAACGGTTAATTTATAGGATATATATAGATTATCATAATAATATGAGTTCAAGTAGACGACCAACCGTCGATAATAACCGACCACTTTTACCACGATAACAATCTAATCGATAACTTTGAAACGTTATAACTTTTGAACCATATACTTCCGCTCGAAAATTTTTACATATTATTAATCTAACAAAAAAACGAACGTTTAGAAAAAAAAAATTCTGAAAAAAAGGGTGCCTGGTAAAGTAGACTTATACCTTTTTTTTTTACCTTTAATAATTATCCCTAGTTTTAAGGTAACGGTCTTCGACATACTAAAGTATGTTCACCACTGGTGTCATCAAACAAACATAATTTGTTTTATTTACAAGGTATCAGCGTATTATAGTCTACAACAACACTTTATATTTTAGTATATATACTAGCTAAGTGCAACTCCATCGTACACAGTAGACCCATCGTACACAGTAAACCCAACAAATTCAAACCCACGTGTTATCCAGCAAAGAGGCTGCAAAAGCGAAGTGGGGTCGGGAGCAAGTGATAACGGAAAACTGTGCAACCCCACCCTACAACAAATCCAAATCCGTCCGCTATTCTGCAGAGGTTACAAAAGCGAAATTGGATCGGTATAAGATGATTTCGGAAAGGAAGTCCAAACGTTTCGAGCGTACGTCTCGCTACGGAAACCAAGGGTTTACTCCGCGATCTAGAGAAGATGGGTTCGGTAGCAGGTTGTTACGGAAGGGTAGTCGGATCGGTAGCAAGTCGTTTGAGCTCTCATATCGATCCCCATAGTCAAGCGGAAGCCGTATATTTGGTCAGAGTATCCGGTCAGGAAATAATCGACACAATCACTCGTCCCAAGTTAGGTCGCATCTAGCGGAATAAATATGATTAGATGTGTACTTTTGACGCTATCCAATAAAGACGTTAGGTGCATTTAATGTATACCCGCATTTTATTTTATAATTTTACTAAACAGGTTATGTTGTTATTATCGTCATTTATATATTATTCTATGTTGTTTCGCGTGTGTGTGTTACAGTACAGCGTACATAAATGTGATTAGTGTATGTATTTATTTAAACACGAAAGATACATTTAAATAATTAACAATTAGCAGTGTAATATTTTTCACTTTCAGATTTGAATAACAAAAAATATGGCTCTAACCAGCGTTGGCCAACTAATTAGCCAAGTGGCAAAACAAAAAAAAAAACTGCTTGGTTCAACTACGCATTAATAATAATACTTGTTACTTATTTCATGTATGTAATGTTACACGATCTATTTTATTTTTATTTGACGTATAAAAATTAATTTAAACAGAAAATAACGTTATGAATAAACGATTACTGGTCATTCAATTGTGGCCAATCACTTACAACTGTATTTGTTTAACTTATGAAGCATAGAAATATGTCTTGGTGTGGTATTAATATAAAAAAGTAACATAATTATGTGTATTGATTATATTGTTTATTTTCTATTGATTCTATTGATGCAAACAATTTTTAGCTTCGATGCGAAGCTGAGAAGGTATTGGTTTTACTAAGATGTGTTTTTTTTTTTTGTTTTTTTTTTTTT